GGGTGTGCAAAAACAGTAGTGACATTGTTATGCCTCCATGAAAGCTGACTGCTTCTGTTCAGCCACTTGTTTTCATCCTTTTCCACAAAAATATAGATGAGCTACAGAGAAGCTGCTCGTTAAAGAAAGGGATTTATTTTCCATGGCATTGCTTCCTTTTGGCACTCCTACATTCAAGAAGAGGGAAAATCCACAGAAGTACAGGCTGGTCATTCTGACCTTGATCGTTAGGAAGGTGATGGGAGCAAATAATCCTGGGAGGCACTTCTAAACATATGAAAGACAAGGAGGTGATTGCAAAGAGACTTACAAATTTATGAAGGTGAAATCATGTTTACCCAGCCTGGTGCCTTCTCTCACAAGGTGGACTTGCTGGAGGAGGGGAGAGCACCAGATGTTGTTTGCGCTGACTTTAGCAAGGCTTTTGACACTGTCTCTCAAACGTCCTCATAGACAGAGGAAGAACGACTAAGCAAGTGGACAGTGGAATGAACTGACAACTGGCTGAACCACTGTGCTTACAGCCCAGCTGGAAGGCAGGCACTGGTGGTTTGCCCCAGGGGTCAATGTTCCTTCATGTCCTTGTTGACGACCTGGGTGATGGGGCAGAGGGCACCCTCAGCAAGTTTGCAGCTGATACCAAACCAGGAGCTGTGGCTCATGCACCAGAAGGCTGTGCTGCCATCCAGAGGGATCTGGACAGGCTGGAGAATGCACAGGCAGGGAACTCATGAACATCAACAAAGGCAGATGAAAATTCCTGCTCCTGGGACACCCAGAGCACATCACACAGGAACGTGTCCAGGTGGGTTTGAATGTTTCCAGGGATGGAGACTCCACAACATCTCTGGGCAGCCTGGCCCAGGGCTCTGTCACTTTCACAGTAAAGAAGTTTTTTCTTATGTTTACATGGAATCTCCTGTGTTCCAGTTTGCACTCACTGCCCCAGGAGACTCACAGTCTATTTCCAGTCCTGCCACTTACCTACTTGTGTGACCTCCAGCAAGTCCATTTAGTCTCTCTTTGACAGGTCCCCTCTTGCTCTTTTCCTCTCCTATCTATCAGGTCACAAGCTGTATTTTTCCCCCTCAGGCACTATCTCATAAAGTGAACTTTTTTAAACAAGCAGTCCTGATTCTGTGGTTGCTGCCAGGCATGTGACAAAACTAGGCAGTAACCAGGTCCTTGTGGGACACGCTTTCAGTGTCCTGGTATCTCACAACCAGCCACAGCCTTGCAGGCTGCATCTCATCCAAAGCTCTCTGCTTACCTCAAATCAAAATGCACCATCTGTAAAACAGGCTCTGAAACAGCCATCTGCCCTTAGGGAGCTTGGGGAATTGCTCAACCTACCAAGGGTGCTGCAGCAGCTGAAAGCACCATTAGCAGTGAAAGTGCTCTGCACATGCTGAACAAAACCCCACAGATATGCTGGCTGGGAGCAGCTGCTGGGTCGGGTACTGTGTGAAGCCACTTTACTGCCTGTGGCTGAGCATGCACATCACAACAGACACCCACGCTGCCACAGCGCGCACACCGCAGCACACAGGGGGACAAAGGGACAGAAAGCAGGAGCACCATAGAATTCTAGAATGTCTTGGGTTGGAAGGGACCTCTAAAGGTCACCTACTCCAACCCCCCCCAGCAATAAGCAGGGACATCTCCAACTAGATCATGTTGCTCAGAGCCTATCAAGTCTGACCTTGAATGTCTGAAGGGATGGGGCCTCCACTACCTCTCTAGGCAACCCATTGCAGTGGTCCACCACCCTCTTATTAAAAAGAACTGTTTCCTAATGTCCAACCTAAATCCACTCTTTTTAAGCTGAGAACCATTACTCCTTGTCCTGTCTTCACTTCTGCACTGTAACATGCCAGAACTCTTTACACCAGCATTAAGAGAGAGCAAAACCTGGCCATAAGGGATCCTGAATCAGGCAGCCTGGAACAAGAAATACATACAGATTTCACAGAGTAAGATATTAAAGAAATACCATACTCTGGAGAGTGTTCTGAGCATTTAGACTTACAGAAAAATAAGGCTGGAGGGGGCTTCTAGGAGGCTCTTCTGCATTAAAGCTTAATTTTCAAATCACACAGTCTACTTTTTTTGGCTTCCACAGAAGCTCTCTGTTTTCAGCAAAAGCTTACCTTTCCCACAGTCCTATTGAACATCCTGGGAAAGCAATCACGGGTTTGGATAGCTATGCAACAGTAATCATGATCAAACTCTTTTTGTCTTTTACAAACCTCTCCTCTCTGCACAACAGGCAGGGGCATCATGACGGTTTTGAAGAGTTCCTCTTTTGGAGGAGATGCTACAAGGACAAATCTGCATCCTGCCAAACACCAAAGGAGCAGCACTAAATCGTGACTCTTAGCTCAGAGCTTACCTAGTGCTTCTGATTCACAGTCACACTTAGCAGTCAAGCAGGTTGGCCTGAGCCTGTGAGCCCCTCCCCAGTGCCCTGCCCGTGCCAGCAGCCCGAGGCTCAGGAGCAGGAGCTCCTTGTCTTCTGCTCCTGCTGACCTTGTGCCAGGCACATCTGCAGGACATCAGGCTACACTTCACCCAGTCTTTTCTGGCAACTTAGAAATACTTAAATAATTAATTACTAAAAAAAGGGGGGATGGAGTGGAGGCAGTTGTTTTGTTTTGAAGTTCAATTATCCAAGGATTTGGAGAAAAATCCAGGAACAGCAAATGAAAACTGAGGAAACTCTCTTTGCTAATTGTGGGGCCGTTTCCAAGACTGCTTTTCTAACCATGTGATCACACTGCAGTGAACATTCTGGGTGTGCAAAAACAGTAGTGACATTGTTATGCCTCCATGAAAGCTGACTGCTTCTGTTCAGCCACTTGTTTTCATCCTTTTCCACAAAAATATAGATGAGCTACAGAGAAGCTGCTCGTTAAAGAAAGGGATTTATTTTCCATGGCATTGCTTCCTTTTGGCACTCCTACATTCAAGAAGAGGGAAAATCCACAGAAGTACAGGCTGGTCATTCTGACCTTGATCGTTAGGAAGGTGATGGGAGCAAATAATCCTGGGAGGCACTTCTAAACATATGAAAGACAAGGAGGTGATTGCAAAGAGACTTACAAATTTATGAAGGTGAAATCATGTTTACCCAGCCTGGTGCCTTCTCTCACAAGGTGGACTTGCTGGAGGAGGGGAGAGCACCAGATGTTGTTTGCGCTGACTTTAGCAAGGCTTTTGACACTGTCTCTCAAACGTCCTCATAGACAGAGGAAGAACGACTAAGCAAGTGGACAGTGGAATGAACTGACAACTGGCTGAACCACTGTGCTTACAGCCCAGCTGGAAGGCAGGCACTGGTGGTTTGCCCCAGGGGTCAATGTTCCTTCATGTCCTTGTTGACGACCTGGGTGATGGGGCAGAGGGCACCCTCAGCAAGTTTGCAGCTGATACCAAACCAGGAGCTGTGGCTCATGCACCAGAAGGCTGTGCTGCCATCCAGAGGGATCTGGACAGGCTGGAGAATGCACAGGCAGGGAACTCATGAACATCAACAAAGGCAGATGAAAATTCCTGCTCCTGGGAAGGAATAACCCCATACATCAGTACATGCCAGGGCTGACCAGCTGGAAAGCAGCTTCACAGAGAAAGACCTCTTGATCCTGGTGGACTTCAGACTGAAGTCCACAATGCACCCTTGTGGCATGGAGCACCAACAGCATCCTGGGCTACATCAGAAGCATTGCCAGCAGGAAGGGAAGATGATCCTTCTCTACTTAGCACTGGTGAGACACAACTGGAACACGTGGTCCAATTCTGGCTCCTCAATACAAGGAAGATAAGGACTTCCTGGAGTAAGTCCAGTCAACGCCCACAAGGATGGTATTAGGGTCTGCAGCATTTGACATACAAGGAGGCTGAAAGAGCTGTTCAGCCTGAAGAAGAGAAGATTGTGGGGATCTTATCAATGTGTATAAGTACCTGATGGGAAAGGACAGAGAAGGTGAAGCCAGACTCTTCTGAGTGGTATCCATTGAAAGAACAAGAGGCAACACACAATTTTAAATGCAGAAATTCAATTTAAACATAAGAATGCTTTTTTTACTGTGAGTGGTCAAACAGCAGAGCAGGCTGCTGAGAGCAGCTGTGCAGTCTCCACAGAATGGTTATGGTTGGAAAGGGAATTCAAGACTCAGCTGGACATCATCCTAAGCATCCTGTTCTAGATGACCCTTGAGCAGAGGGCTGGGGACCAGTTCATTTCCAGAGATACTTGCCAACCCCAACAACTCTGTGATTCTTCAGTCTCTTTAACACTGCATGCAGTCAGTGATTGTAATCAAGAATCTTTCCTCTGCCCCACACTGCTGAGTGTTGTCCAGCTAACAACAGCAATAGCAACAGCGACTCCTCTCTAGGCCTTCATGGCATCTGCTGCTCTTCCTTCTCACAAGGGAGTTTGCAACAACTTTGGGGGCAGAGGTTGGCCCTTTTACAATTTGGGAAGTAAAGGACAGTTTCCTTGGTGTTGGGTAGTTTTTTCTCAAAAAGGAAAGCTCTGCAGTGTTTCCTGATGATGGTCAGGCTCTGAAACATCCAGTTACTTAACAGCTTCTTTCATGTTCCAGTGTGTTAACAGTTTAGTAATGCTATAATTTTTCTTACCAAAAGCTCTACACGTCTGCTCTGTCCTTTTTTTTCCATCTATGTCTACCCTCTCTGGCTTATTTAAAACAGCATTATTCTCCTCACATGGAACATACTCAACTGTGTGAAAGCTCTAGTGAGTTAGCTTATTTCAGCTAAGACTGTTGCCTTTCTCGAGGAAGTGGAAGCAATTCTCCTCCAAAGAATGGGGAATGTCCACTAACAACTAATTGCTACTTCTCCCAAATTGTAACAGAGCAAAACTATTTGTTTATCCGATTCACAGAGTTTTAGACTTTTTTTTTTTCCTAAACACAGCTGTTTTACAAATAAATAATCAAATACATAATAATGTGAACCAATGTAGTACTTACATATGATCCGTAATTCACTGCTAGGGTCTGCAAAGTCCATGGGACGCCTAGGCCAATTAAAATATCAAAAACATTGCTTCCAATGGAGTTGGACACAGCCATATCCCCCATACCTGCAGGAATGGAAACCATGTACAGTCAGACATGTCTCAGCAGTGTCTTTCAATTTTTAAACAGAAATACAACAATCTGAGCTAATTCAGACAATTTCCACAGATTAAGGTAAAGAACTGATGGAGATTCCCCTTGCCCCATCCCTTCCCTTTGCTGTTCCCACCATACAAGCCCAGCAGGGTTTAAGGAGCTGAATCTAGAATCACCTGAGAACTTCCCTCAACCAATCCTCTGCTGCTGTGGGGACCATGGCCACTGTCTCTACTGGCTTCAACCTGCTGGCATTCTTGTGCCATGTTCAGGAGGCTTTGATGCTTTACTGTAACTGTGACATGTGAGCTTCTGCACTGGTCTGATTAGATAAAGTCTTTAGGCAGTCTATTAAGTAGCCAGTTGTCTCAGTGAAGAGCCACTGTTTCTGTTCCCCAAAGCAGTACTGACAACTTCCTATTTCTCTTAAAACACCTGTTGCTGGAGTCAGAAGGAGGAGGAAAAAAAATAAGTTTTCCTTAAAAATAGTAGAACTTCCAGGCCTTACAACTGTGGAGAAAAGCCGGAAAGTGACCTGGAAATTCTGTAACATTGATATTTAAATTAAGAAAAATGTGACTTTTGGGGAAGGCTTGAAGTTAACAATAGTACCAAAACTTGTTCCACACCGTCATTAAGAACCTGTTAGCTGCTTTGCAATAGCAGCATGATTAATTTCCATCTCTGTCCTTGTTTTAAATTTCAGCTTCAGAAAAAGAGCTCTACATGTTTTCATATTCAGGACACATCTGTGCTACCTAGAGAGGAACAGGACACAAGGAAACACTTCCATAGCAGCTGGACATCTCTGTGGTGAACCTACCTTGCCTTGCCACGATGAGGCTTGCCATGCAGTCTGGCACACTGGTTCCAGCTGCCAAGAAAGTGATGCCCATGATCACATCCGGAATTCCCAGTGTGTAGCCAATGATTGTCACCTAAGGAGAAGAAATAAACTATGAAGCTGTTCAGAAGAATTAAAATTGGAGAGCACCTCGGCCCAATTCTGCAAGATGCTGAGAGACAAAGTCTACTGCTCAGTATAAATTCACACTTTCTTTGAAGAGAAGAGGTGACAGGCTGTTTTGGTACACTCACCACCTGGCAGAGGACAGCACTGACCTGCTATGTACCCTCTTTGGTTAGCCACTTCTTATCTTTCTTCCACAATTTCCCTGACACTAACCTGGAAAAGACACTGTATGCTGGACCATCCCCTATGTCACAGACTCCTGATCTTGGCTGAAGTTTGCAGACCTTGCTACATACAATCAACAGCTGAGCAGACACTAACACAACTCTATGGCTCATTATACTCTGAAATTGCTACATGTTGGGACAGATTCCCAAATGACTGCAAACAATTCCTATGGGTAGAGAGGAAAAACTTTCCTTTGCTAAGCAGTCTATGATTAATTAGTGCTATTCAAATTGATTACTATTATTACATTTTGAAAGCCTTTGTCAAAGGATGACCATTTCCTATTAGCCACATTTAATTGCTCTTCTGAACTCTCTGCAGTGTACTCCAAGAAATGTGAACCATATGCTGGAAGCAGCACAGTGATCCTGGGGTCTCCTGTATTTCAGCTATGGAAAGCTGGGACTGCCATTTCTCTTTTTCCTTCACCTCGTCCTTGCAGATAAAAAGCAGAAGAAAACAAGTAACGCTCTATTTCCTCTCCAGGGTAAGATGGGTTATTGAAAAGAAAATAAAATAAACCCCCCTCTTCTGTAACTACTTTGATTATTTTGCAGAGAGAAACCTGGCATAAATTTTTTGCATTTAGTACAAGAATAAACTGTGAAGACAGTGAAGATTTTTTGTTGCTTCCCTTTTCCCAAGCAGAGGCCAGTGCTTAGTGAGGCATCTCCATGCCCCCTGGGTTCCCTGCACAGACAGACCAGGAATCATGGACTCCATTCAAGTGCAGCAGCCCAAAACCAGGCTTGTTAGACCCTCTCCTGATGCCAGCGCCCCATCATTGTCTTATTCTGCTGAAGAGTACAGACTCCCAGAGAGACAGCCCCTGCTGCAGTGTTACTGCAGTCCCAGGGAGGACACCTTAGGCTTTTCATTTACTCATATCATGGAATGAGGCCTGCCCAGCAAGTGAACAGCCTCAGTGGCCCAGCCAGTGCACATAACTGTCCTGTGAACACACCAGCTATGCTTGGACTTTCTTCTGTTCATTTTCATTTACCTCCTACCTTGAGCATAATGAGGAACTCAAGAGTTCCTGTTGACTAGAGTAGTTGTGCAAGAATTTGGCCGAATGCCACACTTTTGTTCATGCTGAGTTCAAAGTGTTATCATTCACAGCTCTGTCCCTCAAGCTTGCCTGCTCCAAGAAAAACTGTTGAGGCCAGATTCTTAGTAGCATCAGGGCCTCTCTACATGGCCCTGCATGACAAAGAGGTGTTCAACTGGTGCAAGTAATTTTTTTTCCCATATTAAAGAATTTGGGTGAAATTCCAGCCCTGAGTCAAGTTCAAAGGCCATGGCTACTGACCCCTGATTTTCTTTTCTCAGTGTGGACAGATCTAACTGAAATGGAAGCAGACTTCAGGTTTCTCATCTGAAAATCCAGGTAAACAGAACTTTATACACATTTCTCCAAGCTGCCAAACCCAGTTCTGTTGCCTCTCCCAGGCTGTAGTTTCTGCTTTAGTTGGTACGTACCATCCACACCATCATGTAGGATAAAGCTGCAATCCAGAGGGTAGAAGAAGCAAAGGTAACCATGAACCATTTTTCCAAGTGGGGTTTGTTACAGTTGGGCACTGTGAAGTACAGGGCAAAACTCAATGGCCACGTGAAGAGCCACTTCAAGATTTCTATCTTGCCAGCTGTAAAATAAAAAAGGGAAACAATCACCACTCTAGTCTGCTTTAGTCTAGAATGTTATTATTTTGTTCATATTAATAAGCAAGATGCCAGGGTCATCTCCACCTCTAAGTGCTATTCAAATAAACGATGACAAGACATTCCTTGTTCAGATCACGGCGTGATGGCAGAGATGTTCCTGCTGCTTCCCAGTTTCTCTCATCTTTTACTTTTGATCAGGAACTACACTGCAAGGTGCAGGTTCAGGAGAGCCCTCAGAGACACTTCCACCTTAACCCAGCCTGGGATGCTTCTGGCACATCCAAACTGAGCTGTACTTTCTGCAATAAAAACACCCAGAAGCTTCTTACCAGGTAGGTCAAAAGGTGTGTATGGCCCTTCATGGTCACCATCGTTATCGTCTTCTTCCTCTTCCTCATCATTTTCGTTGTTCTCGTTATCCTCATTCTCGTTCTCATTCCCAGCCTCAGCCACCTCCTCGTCCCGCCGGGCGCCGTTCACGCCCCGCTCGGACGAGTTGCTGGGGCCGGTTCCATTCTCCACCACGTGCTTGATGGGTATTTTGATTGCTACTTCTGACTCACCATTGCTGTAAGTCCTGCTGCTGATCAGCCTTTGCCTCTGTAAATACAAGCACAAATTCTTACTGAAAGACAGACTTTTTAAAACTTTTTTTAAAAAGAGAAAGAAAGGAATAACAAGACAAGTGCTGAGTGCTTTAAAAATTTAGCTTTGAAAGAAAAAGGATTAATTTTTATCAGGTACAATGTGAGGTTCCTTGCAGATGACTAGATGACAGCTTTTATAAGAAGGACCAGTGGCTGCAGCATCCAAGACCAGGGCCAAACTCAGTGCAGGGTCAGTAGAGATCCCTGTTATTAAATATTGATATTAATGTCAGATCAATGCAGGGGGCAGCTCCTGTGAGCTACAGGTAACATAACCACAGAAAAACTTGAATCTTTCTCTGCTAAAATCTCCATCAGGATAGAGAGCAAGGGACGATCTAGTAAAGTCAGTGTCAGAAGGGTAAAATCTGGGAAAATCACAGAATCATTGTGGCTATAAAGGACCTCTGAGATCACTGAGTCCAACCATCAACAAAACAAAAGCAAAACGCAACAAAAAAATTGCTATTATAGATCCAGAAAAAAATCACAAGAATCCCATTTTAACCCAACCACTGCTATAGGAAAAGGCAAATGCAGCAGGAGAAGGGGAGGTGGGGGTGATCAGACCTACCTCATTGATCAACATGCGGCTGGCCATGGAGAGCCGTGTTTTGGGAGGGAAGTGGCTGGTGATCATGATCCGCAGCCCAGCCTCGGAAAACGAAAGCCGACGTGGGTAGGCAGACAGCAGCTCATCCACCATGATCACAGAGGCTTTGCGGTGGAAATTTCCTGCAGCCAAGGAACAAAGAGAAAGTGAGGTCTTCTTCCAGCAGTCTCTCTGCCCTACATGGCTCCCAGAAGAATAAACCTGTGGGTTCCAGAACTCCTTTGTAAGAACCATTCCTTCAGGTACCACCATTCAGAATATGCCTCCTTAATTTATGCCTTTACATGCCCTACATTTATGTCTTTAAATAAATCAACAACATGGTGTCTCCACTCATGCTAATTACAGAAAATTAAATCTGCTCTGCACAGCTCTTCACAGCTCTGCGTTAGGCAGATCACTGCTTCCACAGCAGCTACTCTACCACGGTAGCAATGGTGCTGCAGTAAAGCTGCTTTAATTCCACTGATACAGGCTGCATTTCTCTAAGGATCCTGGCCTTCCCCACCATCAACTGAACATGGGGGTGAGGTAATTGTCTCTGTGTTCCTGCAGGGTACCAGGGCAAATGAAGAGCAGGTTCCTGTATCCTCAGCTCACAGCTCATGGCTGGGAAGCACCACCAAATATGGCAGCAATCACACGTGGGTTCCTGGGGTTGCAACCCACAGTGCAGAAGCAAAAGAACAAAGAGGTGGGACAGGTACCTGAACGGTGTTCTAGTTGGGGCACGGTGCCAGCACCCGTGACCTCTGGGGTGGCACACTGCCACTGTCCCTCCTCTCTGTGCCTGGATGCTACCTCAGGCTGTGAATGTTGGCCAGGACTAGGACCCAGCAGGAAGGAAACCTGAGGTCTTCCTTGACATATCTCTGCTTTGGTTGCTGGACACCGGCAAATGGCTTGTTACCATCACTGCTAGTCTTACAAAGGAGTACCTCCTCAGCCTCAGTGTCACTTCTTTTTCTGACTGAGAAGGTTTCCATGGACTGGGGTAGACAAGTGTGGTCGGGGTCATCCACATTCAAAACAATCCAAACAGCCTGACACCTTTTCCTTGTGGCTTTTTCCATGCTGGCATTTCCTGCATGGCACTTGGGGGAACTGCCCTCCCCCCCCACAAATCCTTCAATCCTTCTCCTGGATTCTTTTTGGTCTGCTGTTCAGAAAAGACCCCAGAAAACAAACAGTAGTACCCGAAACTCTCAGGCAACCTTTTGCAGTGGGTACTGTTTGTGACATCATGCTACTGGCTGGTGTGCCTGTCTGGGCCTCTGGTGGCCCACTGCCAAGGAAATACAGGAACAGTCTGCAAGAAAATGAAGCAATCCTTTTGTCTTCCTTCCTCAGCCAGTTTGAGTAACCACAAGTGTCCAAAACAAAAAATGACCAGCAGCCGAGCAGCATCATTCCAAGATGCACTCTGGGGAGATTCACACCAGATGCCACAATCAGAACTGCTTCATTTGTGCATGACCCTGAAGCCACTGGGCAAACCAAGATGACTAAAGCCTGAGTTCATGCTTGCTGAGTTTTACCAGTCCAGCTTTACTGGTAGGGAGCACAATCATCCTACCAGCACAGTGTGGCTGTTGAGAGCCCCAGGCTACAGAAAGCTGTTCCCATAAAAGCAGCTTCCTCAAACCAGAGTGCAGAGCACTCAGAAATGCCTTCCCTCAGCAACAGGGCAGGGATACCATAGCTGGCCTCTGGCAGACTCAAAGGGTTTGATGTCAGCAAATAAATGCCTCTACATTTCATGTTTAGTTGCTTACTGTACACAGACTCTGTCTTTCAATCAGTTTTTGCAGAAAGAGAAAGATGTATTTTTGCTCATTTTTTTTGCCCAGTGAAACAAAAAGGGCAGCCCACCTGTAGTCAGAGACCAGGACTGCTTTAAACAAGACAGAATTCCTTCTAAAGTTAAACCAGTGACTGGGGGAGTGGTGTCATTCCATATAAATTCCAGTTACTGCATACGCTTGGTGACTGTTGCAAAGATTAAAAAATATCCTCTGTAAATACAGTTTAGCACATGCTTGCAACTGCCCAGGCCAAGCTTCTGCTGCTGACCTATGGAGCTGGTGAAATTTTTTAAGCTGAAGAAATATAGTAATTTTTGTTTGTAACTGTGACTAAAGACAAATGGGAACAGACTTCAGCCAAAGTGGAATCCACTTAGAGATCTTTTACATGGAAAAGTTGTGCACATTCAAGACAGCATGTGCAGAGAGCAGGCTACCTAGAACAACATAAGAGTCCCCATCTTCCCTTTACCAGGGGAAAGTGTACACCAGTATCAGTAGGGCCCTTTCTAGTCCTCAGCTTAGGTTACTTTGGAATGGAGTTGAATTTAACTGGAGGCACTAGATGTAAGTGGGCCTCTTTAGTGCAGACTAACAGTGCCCAGAGGAGGGCTTACAATGGCACGGCTCTAACAGCCTCAATGAGTAGCCCCTGCCTGGCAAGTCAGGCTTGAAGCTGGGTGAGTCATTTCAGCCAGGCACTTGTCCAGCCACAAGAACTACCCAAGGGAGGCCCAAGCTGCCTCCAGCAGCAAAGGATGCAGTGGCTGGGGTCATCATGCCATGCAGCCAGGCACAGTAGCCATGGCCTTCTGGGAGGAGGGTTATGAAAGGGCCACCTCCCTGCCTATTTTACAGTTGATAAGACAGCAGTCCACACTGCATAGCTGGCAGACAAACTCGTAAACATTCAGAATGATGCAAGCAAGCAGGGTGACTTACTGGAACAGTTACCTTTCTTTAGTAATACCACTGTGGCATCGCAGTTGCTGTTATCATCCATTTCTGTGCTATTTGCTAAACCGTTTACCATATTTGCAGAGTTTTTTGTCTTCCTTTCTAAGCAGTGATGTATGGTTGAGTTGTACCTGCAAAGAAATGAAACAAATTCCACATGTACCTTTGCTCCTTCTATGTGGATTTCTTGACAGTCTTCCCTTCCTAGACTCAGATCCCGTGTGATCCAACTAAGGGAAGGAGAATCCCCCTCTGTTTTTAAGGAAGTCTAGCCACAGTGTGCCAGAGCTCTAATTGAATTGCTGACAATGCGATCTCTCCGTACCCAGAAGGCTGAGAAAGATCCAAGATATGAGTCCTGAACTACTTGTATGGTTATGCATTATGTGCAATTAGTATTCTGCATAGCAAATAAAGATTACTTGTCATAATCTGAATTTATTGTTTACCACATATTTACACCTGAGCATGAGTATTGTTTTACCTGTGAAGATCCACCACAGAAACACAAGACCATATGCTAAGTTCAGTCTCAACTTTGGGGGAGAAAGATAATCTTTGTTTCTTATTTTATTTAGAGGAGCCAGGAGCTGACACAAAAACGAGTAGAGTATCTCACCATGATACTGAATGGCAGGGGTAGGCCACTGTGAAGATCTGGCCGAGGTCCCTAAGCAGGCCAACAACCTTCCCAGCTGTATCAAACAGGTCTGAAACATCTGTTCACACTGCAGCATTGCTTCCAAAAAAAAATAAAAATCCATTCCAGGTTCAGACATGACAACTGTCTGTTTTGCTGCTCAGTTAATTATTGCAAAGTTGAAGGTAACCTCCATGTGAAGAAGAAATTTCTGATTACTAGAAGTGAGATGAATTCTGACTTGTGTTCCCTTCAACTCAGCCTGAGTGTTTTGGTGTTCTCACTGAGAATTGCTCTCACAATATTTACTCTATTCATCATTTCAAAACAAATCTCTACTCTTTACTTGTTGAGACAAGACCACTGGTGTGCTTGGCAGCTGATTGGTTTTGTTGAATGTTCCAGTTTAAATCTGGGTTTCCTTTGCACTGGCTTTTAAAAACAAGGCAGGAGGAGGGGAACCGTAATCAGGGGCAGAACAGACTAGCTTTGCTAGCACAAACTTGCATGAAAGAACTTTTACAGGTCAGATGCTCAGAACATCAGTGCTGACTGTGCTGTAGCTTTATCATGGGTCTCCAGCAAGAACAAACTGCTGTGGAGTTCTCTACCCATAAAAAGCAGACTGGAATCTCCTGTGTGTTTATTTCTGAGTAGGTATGCTAAAGTGAAGCCAGGAGAGGCTGCTCTGCTGGGACTCAGAGATAGACTCAGTTCTCTGCTCTGCCACAGACTTGCTGCGTTAGCCTTGGTGGATTCACACTGGGCAAGATCTGTAAAGCATCATCCACCTTTAGATTTCTGATCCTAGGATCTGCCCTAGAGGCATAAGCAGCCCCTTCCTGCCTCCTCAGGATAAATTACAGGTAAGTACTTGACCAGGCAAGGCACTTTATCTCCTGTTATTGGGAAGCGGGGTGATGCAATGGCAGCCCTGCTGGCAGCCTGTGGCTCTCCTGGATTACCTTGGCAACCTCTGGAAAAGCACTGGAGCAGAGAGCCTTACAATTTAAGCAAGCCGAGGGCATGTTTGACTTACTTCATTATAACAATGTAGATGACATACATCAGCACTAAGACTAAGGACTCCCACCTGCAAACAAAAGCAACACAGTAAACACATGAGAGCAGGGCATGGGAGCCAGTGCAGTCACTCCCCCATCTGTCACCCCACCAACCTGTGGAAAGGCTTGACCCTCCTGGCTTGTCTTAACACACCTCTAGAAAGGACAATGTGTGAAGAAATGGTTCACACACCACACGTGCCTCCTTTGTTTTCCTGACTTTTGTTCCAATGCTACTTGGTCAAATCAGCCTATCAGCTAAGAACAAGTGACTAAACCCAGTTGTTCAGTGAAAAAATGGCACAGCCAAGGGACACTGACACCTCTGGAAGGACAACACCTGTGGGGGCTCTGGCAGAGGGAGGGGAGCAGCCATTCTGCTCTGCCTGCGTGGGTGAATGTTCTGGGCTTTCTAAGTGTGCTGAAGCACAGTGAGTGTGCCAAGGAGACCTGAACAAGGGGCAGCTGCTCCTTCACTGCTGCTGCTGCATAACCACTGAGAATGCAGCAGGCAGCAGTCTAAACTGCTGATAAGATAGTCAGTTTTTTTCTCCACTGTTTTTATCAAACCAATGAAATTAGTACAAAAAGAAGATAGAGTACCACTCTTAGAACTTGTTCCTAGTTAATCTTTTTAATTGACCAAAACAATGTGTTCCGCATACTTCCCTGCATCAAACTGCTACTCCTTGATAATGGAAATCATCCATTATCAAGCTGCTATATGCTGAAACTCATGGGCCATTTTATCTTTAAAGATGTTGAGACATTGCACTAACCATATCAGTATTTCATTCTCTGCTTCTGACAGTTCAACCCTTAGCTATCACATTGATGTGTTTTAGTTGAAGGGTACAGTCAAATACAATTGGGCATTAAGTCAAATTTTGTTAAAAAAACCAAACCAAAACAAAGAAAAACAAACCATTGCAAAACTCAGTGTTTCAGAAATCCTTCTCTGAAATTAAACATAAATCCTCCAGTGAGAATAAGTTTAAGAAAACACGCAACCCAAAAAGCCTGACTCCCCCTAGTGCTTGTAATCTAAATAATACCAGCTGTGAGTGAAATCAAAGCTACCACTGTCACTCTACAAGCCCTGAGAGGTGCTGAAAACAAAACCGTGAAAACAAAACAACTGGAAGTACACTTTTAAAACTGTTTGAGGCCCTCCTAGCCTACCATACCTATTGCAGTCCGTTTAAGCACATTAATGGGGATGTTAACGTTTGTTTTTTTTCTCTCCTTTCTTTAAACTGGCCATTCACTCTTAAATATTGCCTTAGGAGCTTTTTGGTTTTAAAATGACTAAAAATCCAAATATTGGAACACATTTCTTTATGACTGCTTCGGTTGCCCTTTCTATTCCCAGGCGACTGACAGCCCTGGCACCCCAGCAGCAGTCTCTGCCCCTGCCCTGGGAGCTGCAGGGTGGGCTGAGGGCACCTGCTGCCACAGTAGCAGGATGCAGCCTGAGGGACGCTCTCCTTGGCCCTCCCTTCTGGCCCAGAAAATGAGTTACTCTAGCCCATCTTATGCCAATGTTTCTCACGCAGCAGTAAACACTGCCTGAATTGCTCTGTAGAATTTTTTAGCTTTCCCCTCCTCTCCTGATGAACCCTACTTATTCCAGCATTTGTGGTATAACCAGAAAAAATTAAAGGGGATTCACAGCCGGATATACTTACCAGGAAACTTTTTCATCATAAATAAACTGTGGAGAGAAGATTAAAAAATAGGCACGTTATACATGAAAGCACATCTGGAAACAGCTCATCACCTGAGCAGGGGACAGAGCAACCCAGGGCTGAGGGCAATGGGATTAAGCTCCGGCTGTTTTGGCACAGTCCTCCTACTCAGCCTTTGAACTTTTCAATTCCCCACTTCTCTGACCTAGCAAAGGCAGGCAGGGACTCCTTCCCAAACACTGCGGCTCCTTGCGTTACCCAGGCTGTTGCGGTGGCAGGGCAGAAATGGTTGCAGAGAAAACAGCAGTCAGGGAGTTGGAGAAAGGGCGTACCTGCCTCTGAACCACTCATCTGGTCTCACCAGAGACACGGCCTCTTCCTCTGACCTGCTCCTGGTGGCATCTGGGCGCCCAGTGTGCAGATTTACAGCCACCGCCGCTGTGAAACTTCGCTGACTCAAAACTGGACTGAGAGCCCATTATTTCCTCAACATCTTCTAGATATTTCCTCCAGATCTTCCACTATATCTCCTTAAGACTTACATGATCATCACACTAGCTGAGTGTAACTCCTGTGACAGTCATTTTAGCACACCTGTTGACAGGTGCTGAAGCTTTCACAACACTGTGAGGCCTCCTTGGGAGCCTCCCCCTGCCTGTGTGAGGCGCTGGGGAAGACACGGCGCTATGGCCGAGGGTGGAGGGTGTTTGTGCGCCTGTGCCTGGCTCCTGAGGGCTGGAGAGGCAGCTGGGGACGGTGACCGGCAGGTGGCTGCAGTGCTCCACTGCTGGGCCCTTCCCCAGCCCAGCACCTCCACGACCTCCATCACCACCTCCACCACCACCACCACCTCTACCACCTCCATCACCTCCACCACCACCTCCACCACCACCACCACCTCTACCACCTCCATCACCACCTCCACCACCTCCATCACCACCTCCACCACCTCCATCACCTCCTCCACCACCACCACCTCCATCACCACCTCCGTGGCTTGCAGCCCCCCTGAACC